ACCTAATTTGAAGTGGATCGATTGCCTATGATCATGATTTACTTCTTATAAGGTGACGTTGAGAGCACATTACCATCTGGAAACTCCACAAAAACCAAATGACGAAGGGCCTGACCGAAACCGTGCCCATTGACTTCAATTTGAACGTGCCCCAAGCAGGCCACAGTGAGGCGCAAAAGCAAATGCTACTTATATACAGTGGGTAGAGGATTAACCTGAGCTTAATATCCTTAAGCTGAGAAGAGAGCTGTTCATTAGTAAAGCACTTATCCTGCGGAAAAAAATTATAACCACGTAATGTTAATATGAAACACATAACAGTTTCAGCTCGTTTCGTCCAGCATTGGCAGTATATTGCTACCAAACATGGAACACTCAGAATACCATCTCAAATAGAGTAGGACAAACTTGACATTCTTGCAAATGATTTGCTCGTCTCGTCAAAAATTAGCATTTTAAAATTTGCCATTAAAAAGAACATACATATGATAACTTCACTTGTATGCATATAACGTCGCATTACAATCTGCTTCCAACGGCTAGGAGAGGTCCATGGTATATTTCTGCAATTTTTCTTCTAGTAAGGTGACCGCTTAGCATAGGTGAATCTTGCGGCAAAACATAAACTACAGTTCTCCTTTTTTCCACGTAGCGTTCTTCATAATCTGTAGTAAAGTTTTAGTGATATCATGCGATTTTTTATGCCAACATTACTCATTTATTGTGTCTCGGCCACATATGTATCTTCGAAAACCGGTGCTGACAATTACAGTTTAACTTCAGGATGCACGGTCTTCTTCACGCGCACTAAAATATCTAACTTCGACCTCCTGATTTCCGCCTTTTTCACGATCTAAAATATGCAAATTGCAGGACATTAAAATTAAACTTCAGGTGAGCCAGCAAATTGACTTTGGATTGTCTGGAACACTAATACTACATAGCATGATTGCAAGTTTTGCATCGGAATAAAGACGTGAAATATTTTGATTGCAAATAGTCCATGATTTGCGCATTTAAATGCCAGATTCATGGAATTGTATTTCACTATTGTATGCTGCAGTCTTTTGACGAAGGAAAAAGAGGAAGATAAAAAAATGTGGCACAGTATGGTGTAGACAACTTACTGCAAAGGGAGGAGTTATGACCAATTGGGATGCATTGATGCAAATCCCGAGGGTATAAATTACCTCTCCATTGACTAAGGTCTCGTAAAATGAAACGGGGCATGAGCGAGCAAAGCTTTAGACAGAATCCACATGGAATTTTTTAGCGTGTGTGGCCAAGTATTGAGGTGCATCCTTCAGGATGCTGTCAATTATGGACTCAATGGTGGAGCCAGTGCAAGATGCGATAACAAAAGGCTGTTTGTAACTCACCATAATGCGGAATAGAGGGTAGTAGTAGCGCCTTTAGTAAGAGTATGCCATTGAAGAGAAAGAGCTGCATGTCAGAGAGGTAATGTGTTTGCTCAGCTGCAGTAGTTCTGTTCTTGTACCGTTATTATGAGCATTAAATCCTATTCTTGGTGAGCATCTGCATTGTTTGTGGGATTGTGTAAGTGAAGGTAGTGTTTTTAATCAGCTTTGGCGTGGCCAAAATCCTAGTAAAGGTTAGTACCACCATTTGCTTCTGCAATTATGGCCTGTTCAAAAGGCAAAATTGGACTTGGCACTAATGTAGTCAACTTAAAAATAAACTGCTTTCACATTTGCAACAAGATACGCTAAGCATTCGCGCAAGTGGTAGAATTTCTATGGCAAAGACCCATCATTTACTGCTGAGGACGATATACCAACCTGACACAAGAAATCGTTTTATATATTAGTGTTGTTAAATAAAGAGATATGAAATGGTGTTAAAACATAGCAAGATAATTTTCGGCAAATATTTTCAATCAGAAGTCAGGATATTAGGTCCAAAACAGGTAAGTAAATTGAGGTGTATCGTGATGCTTAAAAAGCATGACAATCAGCCAGGGCATAGCAATGGTTGGATATGAGCTTTTACCCTTCAATTCTACCCTCGACTAAAAAATCTCATTTACATTCCATCATTCTATCTCGCCTCACCTTCCATTTATTCCATCAGTGTTCAGCACAATTTTTTTCACACCAATCGAAGCAAACTAGTGCGTCAATGCACTCGCACTTCAATGAAGCCGGCAAACTAACAAATTTCACTGGTTGCATGTGTAAGTCATGTATTGTTGGAGACAGTGGAATCGCGCAAATTAAGTGCCTCTTGCAGTGAAAAGGACTGTTATTATTGCCATGAGTGAGGTAATGCATGGGGGAGCTAAAGAACTGTCTTCATTTAGGTGATCGGAGACCCCAATGAGGGTCTGCTGATGGTTTTACACTACAAAGCACAACGCTTTCACTGACACTTCATGTTGGGAAAATTCAAAGTTTCACTCAGAAAACTTTTCTCTTAAAAAATATAACTTGTGTGGAGGAAGCAACTTTTCTATACTTGGCGATTGAATACATTAAAATGGCTAAGTGTTTTTTCGTTTTTATCTCCACTGAATGGGTTCCCATGCCCACTACACCCTAGTAGGCATCAGATAAATAAAAAAGTTAAAACTTATTTCAACCAACTCTGCTACTTTATTTTTAAATATATGTGCAGTTGGGTTCTATTACTTTTAATTCTCAAAAACACCTAGAAAAGGTGGCAAGATTACAAATAGGCCTCACATGTGTAGCTGGTATCGTGATGGTTTCACGTCAGTTAAATTTTTAAATGCAACCTAATTGGCAATTCCAGAGCAAAAAAATCGTTTAATTATAAGAAAAGCGTGTGCAGAGTTTTCTGTATCTTATAGGCTACGGTTAAACTTCCATTCATAACTATTTCCTATGTGTCTGGCTATTATTCAGTACTTGCTGGAGTAGGAAAGACCACGTATTGCACACTTCTAGTTGACACACAAGTTAATAAATAATACGAAGTGCTCATGAAGTTGATTTGCTGTGCTACACGGCGGATCTTCTTAACTCTTTTATAATGTTGCAGCAAGGGTGTATATTATGAAACTCGAACACAATAATCTAAGTTCAGCTGCAATTTTTGTAAGGTTCTTTAGCACACCAAAAATCTAATGTTACATTAGTGAGTTTTTAGGATTCGCTTTAATTTGAAAGCAACAAATAGTATTATCATTAGCAACCTCACTGATGCAGTACAATATTTGTTTGTTAAACTCAGTGCACTTATGACATTTCAATCTTTAAAAAAGCGCAAATTGCTGTCAATTACTAGAAAAAAATTAGGCAGTGTCAAGACGAGTTATGCTGTTGAGCTCCCAACATACCTTATAATCCACAAAACTAGTGTATACCATCATGTTTTATTTTGTACGGTTGTCCTACACGACTATCTTTGTACAGTTCCTTTACCTGCTCTATAATTATCACTCTTTTGCCTTTTAGTCGACTACAGCCCACAGAAAACTTTCTACGGACACGATGATTCTTTTCGTTGGCTACCAAACCGATGTTTGCACACGTTCCAGTGTGATTACAGCAACGCCTCTGATTTGAGAGTCAAGGTAGCCGGAAATTGTGGCAATTGTAACGTCTCGCCTACACACACTGAGGTCCTACTCACCGGCCAATTTTCTTGACCAATGTCTTATCCAACCTTTTTGCTTTGCTTTCTCTACCCTTACGTAGACACTTGCTGACTGGCACATAGCACTTGCTGTCAGCTCTTTACCCATGGCTCTTTTATTTTTCTTTCTCACATTCTTTTGTGTTTGCATATCAGTCCTTGTTAGGCGTAGCCCCTGACACACCTGCAAGTGAATAAACGCTTTAATATTTCTTGTGTTCTTTTGTTCTGAAGGTTTTGTTCAGGAGAATCAAAGTAAAAGCGGGACACAAGAATCACCCAGAGATAGTAAGTTGGTGTTGATTTCTCTGAATTTGGGCCAACCGATATTATCTCAAGTCTTGTTGTAGAGAGTGGGCTCTACTGCAACATGATTTAAGTAGTCTCTTCGGGGTCTTAGAGGTGTAGTCGATTGCCAGATGACAGCGTCTACCGGTGGCGGAAGACATGTTTCAGGCTATTCGTGAGTGGAGGCAGGTATACTAATACTTCAACGTTTGTGCAGCTCAAAGCACTGCGGCCTAATTCAGGTGTTGGCGATGTGAACATTGTCAGTGGTAAGTAGTGCCAATGTGAAAGTCCATTCGGTATACATTCGAATTGATCACCCTCCCTTCTCCCTAATACGCTGTAGTTTTAATGACTGAGAAATCCTACTGAATGGATTTCCGCTCTCATTGCTTAGGCTTTCAGTTAATAGCTTCCTAACAGTGACTGACAGATGGGCGGTAGAATGGTCTATTTAGGCATGTACGTCATATTAAGGCATTTTAATTCAGCTTTCTCTGAGGCGGAAGATAATGCCACTCAAAATTAAGCAGTATTTGTTCTTCCTTATGCTGTTCTATTCATTCCGGTCTTGTCATTTTGGGTTTCGGGTAGTTAGATCAGCTGGAATATTTGATCATATCTCGAAAGGTGAAAGGTTTAGCTAGAAGTGAGGTGTAATTATTGTGGTTATCAGATCGGTACATAAACCAAATAGCATCGAAAGAACCTCAAGAGTGCCTACTTAGGTAACCTATTGACAGCCAGCATCGGATATATCGTTGGGAGCCATGACATCATGCTTGGCTGCATATGAGCAATCTGGGAAAAGGAATGTGGGATGCTTGCAAACAGCTTATTCAATGCAACACCATTGATAGATGGATGACTGTTGAGGAAGAAGCCTACCGAACATAAGTAACGATTGCTTTCTCCTGCCCATTGGCAGCACACATTACGATCCTAAACAGCGAAGCACGTAAAAATAATCAGGAAAGCCCACGAGCACTTTACAGTGTAAAGGAAGGCAGGCAGCTATCCGGTTCATATGGTTCCTGAAGAATGTTTGGATGCATCAAGCTGTAAGCCGATGCAAGGGAATGGCTATGTACAAGGACAAATTTAATGCAGGAGGAGGATGCTCTGTGGCGAGAGTAAGGACTAGACTTCCAAATGCATCCCATGGTGTTAGGACGGTTAGAGCATTGCCAAGTAAACCGAGCAAAAGGACACATTGGATAAGAATGCTATTTGCGCAGAAATTCTTTGATAACCGAAGGCGAAATCACCAATCGCAATTTTTCCCGATCCTAAAACTGCAGTGTTTGAGTTTTGGTATTCAACCAGATATCTTTTTTAAACTTGTATTGAGAAAATGAGGTACATGTAAGCAGATACGAATAAGGGATCAAGCTATTAGGTCACTTTGCCAACGTTTTCACTTAAATTGCTAATAAATAAATGGATGAATACGTGAAAAGGGTAAAATTGTCTATAAGCAAGGGGTTAGAGAGGTAGGTATTACGTTAAATCCGTCACAAGTAGATATTTGTCAACTGCTAATTATTACTGTCTTGCAGATTATAGTTTTCAAAATTTTGGACCGATTTTACTGCCTCATACTTAATGTCGTATTTAGTCAGGTTCCGGCAATACGCTTGGAATGTTAATATCATAGTGCCCACACTCGGAAAAGTGGTAGATGTTCGGAGCACAGAGGGATAATAAGTGAGATATCACCTAAGTACTCCATTTAGTTAAATGTCTTATTCTAACTGCATGTCGAGTGTCCAAAAAAATGACAGAGTTGCACGACTAACCCACCTGAAGCAGTAGCAGCTGCCCTACAGTGTCTTATTTCACAAACATCCGTACCAGGAATAGGTATCCCAATGTCACGAAGTCCTGCTTAGTCAGAAGTTGGAGTTCATAAAATCGGAGTGGATAACAACTGGAACCTACCCGTGACAAAATAGTGCTGTTCTATGCTGCTAATTTGTCCATCAGCCACTGAACATCCACATGCCTTTTAAATTGACTGTAGGAGCACTAACTTGGATATCGTGAAGAGGAACTGTGGTATGAGCCTGAGAGATGAGCCCGGAAAAGCATGAAAAGAGGTTGTTAAGTGTTTGGATGCCTACCGTGGCTGTCCCGTGTAAATCAGCCACCTCTTTGGTATATATGTCAGACAGGGGATTGATGTCGTAGTTGAGCGGTGCCCGCAGAAAGAGCCGTCTCATCAGAGAGAGTAAACTCAAGTGCAAGAAGCTGTCCTCGTGCTGGTGTATAGTAGACTGACAGTCTCGCAGAATCCACATACAATGAAAGTCAAGGATTCCCAGCGATTTACCGTCTGTGGAATTCAAGTATTTCAGGTGCCTAATATTTAGGCTCCAAAGTTAAATAGCGGCAGTTCAGTTTCCAGATCTCGCTTGAGATTTTCGGTTCCCCACTTACTTTGTAATCCCCGTCCCCTGAATATTGGCATTTACAGAACACTTATCATAATGCACAAATCCTATTGTACCAAGTTACTTTTTATTTATTTTTCTTAAATTGTGTTTGCTTAAATGCACCAATAAAGCCGGAGGAAGACGTCGATCATAAATTTTGTGATGAATGGGTGTCATTCACCTCCAAGGAAAAAGTGAATGCCGATTAAGCCTAACCCTGATCACTGCACACAATTTATAATATTACCGAGGCAGACCGTTCCTACCAGCAAAGTCCACCCGTTGAAAGGAAATGAAAATCGAGGAGAAAGTTAAACTCTGTACGCATTACTTTTGTGACAGCGCCCGCAGCTCTCTCACCTCTCAAGACCTGCATGATTTCTAACACGCCAGATTTAACCTTTGACCCTACCCCTAACGTCTAAGAACACCCCAGATTTTGCACGTCCTTCTACAGAAACCTTTTTGAGACAGCACAAATGTCGAGTTAAGCCTGCATACCGAGGTGGAAGAATGCTGTACTACCTTGATCTAATTCGTCATCGACCAAGAAGAACAGACCCTTATCAGAAAGTTTGCCACTATTGCCAAAAAGAGAGTGAAGAAGACCAGGAATATGCGGAGAAGCCTTAACTAAAAGGAGAACGAGGTTTTCGCTGCTCAAATCTACCCATGGCGCATTCATACCCGGTCGTAGGACCATTGGCCCAAAAGCGGCAAAAGGAGAGCTCCTGTCAATGTAACAGCCTCAAGACCATCTTATCGACAGAATAATAAAGCACTAAAGTGGCTAGTAGTCAGATGCTTGCTGACTGGTCCACCGACCCACTACCTTTGTCACAGGCATGTGACAACCCAACCACTTGCCTGGGTCCTGCAATGCATTTCTTGACATCAACTCGCAGATAACCCTTAAAAAACACAAGCATGCAGATCCCAAATTCCACAAACGTATGTAGGATAAACTGAAAATATTAGAATGCAGAGAAGCAAGCTAGGCGTGGAGTCTTATGAATAATGCATACATATATACAATACCTATTAAAATTACATTCCTCCAATGCACTCAGGTTTCTACTTCCTGATCGCATGTGCAAAGTTTCCCGACTTAACTTCCCAGTTACACGATACTGCTGCCCACATCACCATGTGCTTGAATATCCAACTCTACTTTGCCCTTTTCCTTTCTTCGTAGTGGGACATGAGCAAGACAGAAAAGGAGGTGCTAGCACCCTCACAACTTGTCCTGATCAAAATTCTTAAAAAGCACATGCATTAAAACTTGCTATGCACTACTTTTCTCAGTTAGACCGGAACAACAACGCAAGTGAATGAGCGCTAGTTATTCTTTAACAAGGGAGATAAAA